AGCCGCCGCTGCTGCTGCTGTCGGAGCCTGCCGCCTCGCTGGACTGGGACGAGGAGACGCTGCCGTGGCCGGAGGAGCCCCCGGAGAAGGGGCGAGAGGGTGGCACGGAATCCCCGGCAGACCTGTGGGGAACCGGGCTGGTGCGGAGAAGCCTGATGTCCTTCCCCGTACCGCGTGTGGACTTGTACGTGCTGGGCCCGGAGCAGGGCCAGGTTTGCTGCTCCGGCAAAAGCCATCTGCCCCAGCCCCTGCGAGCCGAGGTCCCCGCGGAGGCCTGGCGAGGCTGCCCCGTCCGGGGCGGCTTGCCGGAGGCCGAGTTTCTCCGCAGCAAACGCCTGGCTTTTCTCCAGCGGTGGCATTTGGCGAGCGGTGGCCTGACGGTGCCAGACCTGGACCACGGCTATCACAGCCTGGAGGAGGAGCAGCAGCAGCACAAGGGCGTTTGTCAGGAAGAGGTAGGGGAACGGCGGGAGCAGCGGTGCGATGCCGGGGAGTTGAAGCGGCCCGAGGAGCCGAACGACGCGGAGAGACAACCCAGAGGTGGTCCCTTGGATCAGGAGGGGATAAGGGGTTCAGCTGAGGAGAGGACACTTGAGGGCGAAGCCTTGGCTGAGGAGGATGACGAGGACTCCGAAACAGAGCAAAACCTTTCAGCTTCAGCGAGACCTGCCTGTGCAAATAAATTAATAGACTATATCATAGGGGGAGTTTCCAGTGGGGAGGAGAGTGATGATGATGATGACGGATTTGATAGCGAAGGGCTCCCTTCGGATTCAGACGCCGGTAGCCAGGACGGGGAAAGGCTTAATCTCTGGAATTCCTTCTACAGTTTGGATCCCTACAACCCTCAGAACTTCACAGCCACCATTCAGACATCTTCCAGCGATCCAGAAAAAGATATGTCGGATGAGGAGGAGGAGGAGGAGGAAGATGATGATTCTTCGTGGGCAGACGAGTCCTCAGGTTCTCCTCACCCTAGTTCTGAAGAGGAGGACGAGTGGGACTGTAGCAGTGTAGATGAGGCAGAAAACTTGAAACTTTGGAACTCGTTCTGTACCTCAGATGATCCGTATAATCCTTTAAATTTCAAGGCGGCCTTTCAAACAGCAGAGAAAAAAGGGACGCCAGGTTTAAAAGGAGCAGAGAAGTCGAGTTTGGGCACTTCTGAGCGTAGACACTTAACTGTCTGTCGACTGGAAACTGTGCAGTTGGAAAAACATAACTGTGGGGTCACTGAGCTTGTGCAGCATGGCATTCTTTCTGGTGAGAAAGGTGCAAGTACCAAGCGGAAAAAGGTATATACTTCGTTTATGTTTTTGTGTTTGGGGGGATGCTAAAAAAAAAACCACCACAAACAACAAACCCCCATTGCACGAAGTGGTATGTGAGTGGGTGAGGTCACTTGTGCGGGGATTCCAGTCGTGGCGACGGGCAGATCGTGCCCCATGAGCTTATGGTCTAACTATTTGACTCAAATGAGTGTGCCTCATCCCTTACACGTGATGGGAGATTTCGTAATTCAGTGACACAGGGCAGATAATTCTTTTAAATTATTTTTTTTTCTAGACTTGGAAGTTATGTTTTCCTTTTAAGATGTTTTCATTCTCTGTTTCTGTTGTAACATAGTTTTCATCATCGGAGAAACAGATGAGAACTGTGACGTAGGTTCTTCCTCTGGGAAGTACCCGTTAAGAATAACCGTTGATAAAGTATTTAGAACCTTTGCGTGTGCGTAGTGTAATGGAGACTTAAAGCATTGTAAACGTTTTAGAACTTGTGACAAACTTAAGCTTGAGTTAAAAACTGTCTTTTGGAGTAGGAAGAACTCTTCTGTTGTGGGTTAGCGCATGCTGCAGTAAGCCACTGAAGTGTCAGTACGAAGTATAGTCTTTTAAATGGAAATGGGAGTATTACTATTATAATTGAGTCGTTTATAAAAAGGATGTAGCCTGGAACTGGGCTTTTGAGCACAAACTGGAAGTGTAATGCGTTTATAAGGAGTTTGTGCATTAAAAAACTTTTAATATATGTGCCAAGATTCAGGTAAATAGTAATAAAGAAATTTGTCCCCTCATAAGTTTTGTGATGCCTGAAAAACCATCTTGTACATCTGTAGCTTTGAGTCTTCATGGTTCTTCAGGCATTTGGGTGAGTAACTGCTTGTGATACCAAGTCCCAGGGTAATATCAAAATAGAAAACTCGTATAATCCTTTAGCATCCTTAGAGTGGAGAAATTTGCTTGCTCCTTTAGTTGAGAGCAGCCTGGCTTAGAGGTAACTTCATACCTGGTTTTGCTAAGGCAGGTGGTGTTTACAAACTTAATGGTTCACACAGAACGAACTGTTGTATTTTAATCTAAATGGGCAATACACAAGGTTAAACAGTTCCTGCAAGAGGCCCTTTTTAACTGAGAATGTGTGTTTGATAACGCTGCGAGGTAGCACCAATGAGCCCTGCTGTAAGTTCATTCGGCCACGACCTAGAATCTTGTGTGTCAGGGATGTGGACTTAACAGTAGTAATTTTTTTGACTAATCTTGTTTGACTCTGTGTAATGTGTTGGCATGGTGAAAGAGCAGTGATCTAGATGCAATATTTAGCATGACGTTACAAAATCCGGTAATTGTGCCCAAGGGTGTCTCAGACTGATGTAAAAAGGATGTAAGGTAGGAACTCGCAAAGGGAGAGGCTGATGTAACAGCTCGGTGTGCTTGGAAGCGGGTACTTAATTAGGCCCACCTGCAAAACAGCATTGCTGCCGAGCAGAGACCGAGGTGTTCCCAGGAAATCTTCCAAGTTATTCATCCTGCTCAGGGTTCTTTCCTATTTTGTATCCTTAAAGTCCTAAAACCTGGAAGCCTTACCAGTTGGCAGATGCATTGATGCTGTGAGGATGCGTGGGGTCTGATGCTCTTGCTTTCACAGACAACTCGGCAGTAATTTGGGATCGCTGCCCTACAACTAGATGATTTTTCAAAGTCTCTTTGTGGCTCTGTCCCCTCAACTGCTGAATATTCCTGTAGGTCACCTCTAACTATTGTGAAGGCTGAAAGGTGGCTCTGCCACAAAAAGCAACCTCACTCTACACTCCTCATTGTGTTAGCAAGAACTGGGTGTGAAACTAGGATTCTGCGTTAATAAAACGTAGGAATGGAGCAGCAAGTTTTTTGTACCTCCCCATGTTTTTTCCTGACCTTCCAGAAGTAGCTGCCCTACAGCAGTTTCAGTGGAGTTGTCTGTAACTGCAGTGTTTGGCTTGTCTTCAAGAATTGGTCCTAGTCTGAGTTGATGGTTCCTGACAGCGAGTTCGTTTGCTCTTTGGTTTTGTGCCTTTTGCACAGCTAAATGAAAAGCAGTACATAATTAAGTAGGAGCCTGAAATAGTCTGGATTTTGCTTATCGCTCAATAACAGAAAGACTTAAATCCTTAATATAGTAATAGTCTAAATACTGTCAAGTTTAGATCCTAAGCCTATAAGTTTATTTTCTTAAAATAGCTTAACAGTTCTTAACTTTCACTCTTTGCTATTTTTTTATACATATTTTATTTTAAAGTGCCATGACTTTGACTTCCATTTCTTTGCATGAACTTAAATACACTGGAATTTGATACCAGCTCTAAATAGATGGGTTTGTTCCAGTCATGCAGTGATGAGTGTTGCTTCCTTATATGTAGAATAGTGCAATTTCTTTTCCTGATGCTGAAGTACAGGCTGACTCACGTGATTGCTTACTCTACAGAACAATTAGTACTTTTTTTTTTTCTTATGTAAGCTTCAGTAATTAGAGTTGTTGACCCACAGAATATTTCTAGCCTTGAGTGTCCTGGCCTGTCCTACTGAGTAACCTGCTGAGCTGTACCTGTGTACGGTTGTAACCTGGTATTAATGTCGGAGGGGTCTTATTTCACAGGGAACATCCTGTGATCTGTCAGCATAAAGAAGCCTCTTAGGCTACAGTTTAGAAGCTGTAGTAGTTTGAGCTCTACTTTTAGTCGAGGGGGAGGTCAGCAGTTGGTTGTTTTTAAAGTTGAGAGGTGAAATATGCTCTGGCTTAGGTGGTGCAGAGACCTTGCATGACCCGGGAGCATATCAGGTCTCTTGCTATTCTAGACCTCTCTTAAAAAAACAAAACCAACCAACCAAAAAAAAAAAACCACCCACCCCAACATGCAAATAAGTATTAAGCTCCTCTTGCATGAGTGTTTGGCTAATGGTTTACTAAATGGTTTGTCTTTTCCAGGTAACCTTCCTTGAAAAAGTTACTGAGTATTACATAAGCAGTGAGGAGGATCGTAAAGGACCCTGGGAGGAGCTTGCACGAGATGGGTGCAGGTTCCAGAAACGTATCCAAGAAACAGAAGAAGCCATAGGCTACTGCTTCACAACAGAGCATCGACAGAGGGTATTTAACAGACTCCAAGAAACCTACTACAAGAGGACTGATCTCTTCTAGCACCTTAAAAGATCTGGTAGTTGTGTGACCCTAAGCACTCATGAACGTCTTCAAAACAAGAAGTGGCAGCTGCATGTGCTATTTTGAAATGGGGAGAGAAGTGGGATTTTCACACTTTCTTCCCAGTTCGATATTCAGCCAACGAATATACCTGTGTGTCCCATTTTGATATCCAGACAAAATCTTTTTGAGTATCATCAAGGGTAAGGGTGGTATAATTGCATTCCTTTTAAGTAACACTTGAGAAACAGACTGCTTTAGGTTAAATCCATTCCAAAAATGCCTTGTCTGCCATATGTTGAGAAGTGGTGACTATTAAGTTGGATTTTTGCACTTTGAAAAAGCAAAACCTATTTTGAAGGAAATATTTATGGGGCTCAGAACCTAGTTATTGCAGTTTTGATTTAAAGTTTCTAGAGGTATGTGCTATTTTCTTGTGGTTCTCCATTTTCTCTAACTTGTACAAAAGTCTCGAATTTTGTTAGCTAATTACTGCGCAAAGCAGAGAGTTCATTCCTTCCTTCTAAGATCCTGGGTTTGCATGGAATCTAGTGTTTGAGTGTTTATGTAACGCTTTGATGTTGTAATATTTAAGTCTGGCACACTGGGGGATTTGGGGTAACTGGTGCACTACGAGCCCTTTGGTCTGGCTTTATTTAAATAAATACCTTTACCCAGTACTGTTCCAAAGGGTGCTGGCTGCTTGTGCACCAAACCTCTTTGCTTTCAGGGCGATGAAAGGCCTCGTCCCAATCAATAATTAAAGCTTCAAGGTACGTAATGAGGCTGATAGTTTGAATTTAAGTAGCCACACATGGGGAACTAGCCCATAGTTTTTTTAGTTACCCTTGGAATAACTTTGCCGTAATTGATTCTGCTTTCTGAAGATGGATTGAAGTGGAGGACTCTCCATGTTTCTTGTATCTAATATGCTTGTTCTGGTACTTGTAAGAAGAATTACCTTTGACTTAGGGAAATCTGAGGCTACAAATTCCTATGTTCTTTACCAAAAGCCAGTATTAATACCTCTATGCGTCTGCACTTTTGTTCGTCTGGTACCAAAATAACATTTCACGTTGGGGTCTGAAAGTTGAGGTCCTCGGTGGAAGGAAAACACTCCTTATGTTCTAACTTAAAATGTTTAACTGTCGTTTCAGTCAGAATAAAAAAAAAGCATATCCAGATGGTGCTGTGTTTGGACCTGAAGGATGTTGTGTGGCTGTTACCCAGGCAGGTACAAGGTCACACAATGGAATAAACACCAAGCATCAAAGAATTCTTATCTGTTTGCACAAAGTTGTGTGAATAAATGATTTGCTACTTGGTTCATTCAGCTGACTAGAATTGTTTCCTTTTCATAAGGGAGAAGCCTAAAAACACTTCAGACTTGTCATCTCATTAATGACTTCAATTTCTGTTTCGAAAGAGAATTACAGAAGAGCTTCACAGAGCTTTTCTGTGGTTTATCATGCCATCTTTTTGGCCATCTCTTAATTCTGTTTCAAATTCCAGAATTTTGGGTTTTATATTTTATTCTTATTGCATGAAGTATGTTCTTTGTATTTAAAAATTACCTTTCTCTGCTACAAGTCAGAAGTGTTACAGTTAGGAAGTTCAGAAGGTTGAGTTGTAAACTTAAAATACAGCCAAAACTCAAGCAGCCTTTAACAGACTGGCTACTTGAAAGCAATCCAGCAATGTTATTTTTCATCCCCATGGCATAAAAGGAACCTGGATTCTCCTTCCCTACAAAAGATAGTTGTGAAATCAATTCTAATTGTGCTCTCGAATCCTGAGAAACAACCTTTAATTTTTAGGAGTTCATTTTCCTGTATCATTTGATAACAGGTGTTCTGCTTTCTTGTTTAGGAGAAAGCGTGCAGGGTGATAAATGTAGGATTAGAGTAGAAAATTTGTTGACTTATGGGCCAAGTATGACTGACAAGCAAAAATGCTGTTTGTTTGCTTTTGCTAAAATAGTGTCATTTTTCCATGACTTTCCTCGTTTCTTTGATCTTGGAGAACTTGGTGCTTTGGTTACTCTGGACAACTCACTTGGTTTATGGTGCTTGTAAGAATCTTTTAGTGATGTGAATTAACACCTGCAAATACTGCTCTGCTGTTTGCAGAGGCTTGGGAAAGGCTGCAGCTGGTAACGAACCCCGATGACAAATTGGATATAAACTAGATTAAAAACTGCTACTTCCAAAGTGCTTCTAACATTGGAGAAATATTTTTTTTTTTCCAGCCTGCAGCATATCAAGCATTGTGTTCTAACACTGCTGATTCTCCTTGAAGCATACCTACTTGGGTAAGCTTTTCCCCCTCTCAAACTTCACATTTTCGAAGTATCCAATGTAAGGTGGTAAGAAATTAACACTAAATTCGTCATCATGAGCATCATCTTAAAAGCAAGCTAAGCTTGGTTGTCACCATTTTCCCTATAACATATCTTAAAATGGTCATACAGGATGTGTACCTGTGTAAGTGCTTTGAGTGAGACAGTAAAAATAACACTTGCTGAACTTTAAATCAAAACTGTAATTATCAGATTTTATTTTTGTATAATTTAGAGAAAGTTAGAAAACCTTCAACATTGGCTTTATACAGATTTTAATTGATTTGTGTCGAGTTTGTTGGGTTTTTATATCTAAAGTTATATTTCTGTACATAATAAAACTATTCAGAACTAATCTGTAAATTGTAATAAAGATATTTGCAAGATAATGCCACATTGTTTTTCTTTGAAGGAACTTACAGGAGATGTCAGGTAACTGCAAAAGTGTGATTTGTGCATGTATGTTGAGCTTTATGAGAATATTAAATTATTTTTTTTTTCCTGCCTTTGGTTCAGAGGAGGTTATGGTAATTAGAGGCAGGCATTCTCCCCTGTGAATATCCTTCTCAACCAGTAAATTCATGATTGTAAGGGCTCCTTGCACTAATTAATCTTTTAAAACTAAAATGCAAAGTGTGCAGGTGCAATTAGTTGTATTCAAATAAGGTGTTGGCTTGGTGTAAGCAGGGATGTTTGTGTTTTGTTGCCCTCATTGAACCTGAGTCTGGAGATCAGGTTTCGGTTTGCTCACTGGTTAGCATAACTTTTAAATATGAATACTGGATGGTTTTGGAGGTATTTCAAGGGGTGTTTGAAGTATTTTCAGTCTTTGAACTGAAACAAATTTGAGGTGTCGCCTTGTGAATAGAAGTGAAGTGACTCGAAGGTGCCAAACATCTGATCTTTCTTCAATTAGAGAAGAACCAGAACGCTTCCCTGGGTTTTGCCACGTAGGGTTGGCCAATAGTACAGCCAGTGATTTATTCCCTTTATCTTTTACTGAATTGGAGTAAAAATTCTCGGTAAGGAGATCACAACACACGCAGGGTGGCTGTGCCCAGTGACGCTTAATGCTGCACCGCGTTACCCCACGTAATTCTTTTTAAATGAGGATTTTTTTGTGTAAAGCGTGTCTGTCACTCCGTGGTTTTTGGACTAGGCAGTACCATCATTTCAGCACAGGCTGCCTTGGGTGTGAAACCAGAATGCCCTGGAGGAGCCGGGGGCTTCCCTGGGTGGGACGGCGGAGGCCGTGGTGCCGTGCTACTGCCTGCGCGGGGCTTTGCGTCTCGGGGTGAAAGGGCCTGGAGTGGTTTGCCAGCACAAAACTGGCTTTTCCGGGGGTTCCCAGGGGCTCGCTGGGGAATGAGCCTGGCCTGGGTGGGCCTGAGGATTTTGGTCTCAGCCAAAACCCTGCTGATGAGCTTCCTCTGGAGCAGCGCTACCCATGACGAGTGTCACCGGTGGCTCTGCTCTGCCTGTGATGTGGTCACGGTGTAGGAGTCTCTGAAATAAGTTCAAGGGCTGTGGGTCAGTCACATCTCTTTCAGAGCCATGTTTTGGGGGGAGAGCTTTCAACTTAACTCATCGTTTAGTTTACGCTTTAGAGAAAAGTGCTGCTCAGAGCTCAGGCTTGGGATGGTGCTGAGGTTCGCTCCTATCTTGCAGCACAAACCACGCTTCACCCTGTGCTGGTGTGTTGTCTGGGCATCTCTGCACCACCATTGTGCAGTGTTTGTTTCTGTAAGAGCACTGCGGGTAGAAAACTGCTGGGCTGGACAAGGAAAAACATTGTTTGAACTTCCTGCAATACGCTGTTGAAAACAGCGAACAAAGCTGAATGCAATGAACGTAATTACAGTGGTTTTTTTAAAGTCCCATTTCACCTGTTCTGCTGGCTCGAAAATCTGCCTTAAAAATGAATATTGTAATTTCTCTATTCAGCGAGACAGCTAAAGGAATATAGTGAGTGTGCTAAATGAATGCTTCTGTGTAGCTGGCAGTGCATCCAGATGCCATCTGGAATGGAGGAATCCTGCTGGGATTTCTTGATTCTATCAGCACTGAGGTCTGCAGTTGGGAGCTTGGTTGACAATTCATCTGTGTTAGAGTAGAATTGTTCTTGCTCTGGTCGCTGTATCTTCTCCACGGGACTCAAGAACTTGTTTGTCAGCAAAGCACACGGGGAGTAAATAAGCTGCTGTATTTTTGTAGTCGTTGCTGACTGCATCCACTAAAATGCCATTTGCAAATTAATAGTGGCTGCGGAGCTGGTTTGGTCCCACAAAAGGGAGTTTCTCCTGAAACTGGCAGGCGGGAGAAGGCAACGACACTGAATCACGGCGGCCTGACGGGCTGCGACGGGGGTAGGATCCAGGGTTTGTTTCAGCCTGTGCCGTGGTGATGGGGAAACGCAGTCTTGTAAAAGCTGTCCATTAGTCTTGAGGGTACAGAGTGTTAGAGCCCATTAGTAGCCGGCATCCATCTGCCACTCCGGCTTAATGCTCCCGATAAGACTTAGCAATAAAAACACTGGCTGCTTTGTAGCCGCCCCAGCTGCGTGAGCACGTCGGATATTCATCTCTGGCCTGCCCTCTCTGTTGTTTGCAGGATAGCGTGTGGCGTTCTGCTGGACACAGCAGTTGTTTTCAGTCTTCACTAGGTGTGTTGCTTCTCACAATAAAAAACAACTTCTCTGACCAACCCCGTTGCCTGTGTGGGGTGTCCAGCTCTGGCAGGCTGGGCTCGAGGCTTCGAAGGGGCTGTGGGGAAGGAGCATAGCTCAGAATCACAGAATTGTCTAGGTTGGGAAAGACCTTGAAGATCATCCAGTCCAACCATTAACCTAACATTGACAGTTCCCAACTCCACCATCTCCCCGAGCACAGCTCTCTGACTGAAGGGCCAAACCCCGTTTGCACTAGCCCACCAGCTAGTGCAGCGAAGCTGCTGAAGATAAATTCCTGCTCTCTCCGTCACAGATAGAGCCTGGACGGCTCTGGCTGGTGCCGTCTTCAGCTAAATCTAAACGCCTGTCTTTAGGGAAGATAGCTGCCACCAGAAATAACTGGTACCTACAGAGAAAGGCAAGGTCCTGCTTGGGACATCAGGCTTTGCTGCTCGGTGGCTCTGTGGAGGGTTGTGCGATGGAAGCGGTGGGTTTCGGGCTTCTGTTCCTACCCCGCTGCTGCGTGACAGCCCAGCGTGAGCGGCTCCTTGCCCCGTGGGAAACGCCGGCTAGCTTCCTTCCCCATCACCCAGAGACGAGGCACCTTGTCAGAAACAGGAAAAGAGCTCCCAACTTGGGGCCCTTTTGCATGCAAAGAGCCGCCTGCGGCTGGGATGCGGGCCCAGGTCTCTCGCAGGGACTTTGTGCCGAGGAGGAACAAAGACCCAGCGGGGACGTTTGGATTCAGCGCCTCTTCCCCCCCTTTCCTTCTCGTGTGCCGTGCTGCTTGGTTTAGTCTTGCTGTTTCAGGTTGCTGAGATGATTTAGGCCAGATCTGAGGTTAGGCAAGGCTTCTGGCAGAGGGGAAGCAGGAGCTGGTTAAAAAGATTTCAGTTCTAGAGCCGGAGGGATGTTTTGCTGGCACCACTCCACGCCTCCTCCCATGCCGGCTGTTGGGAGCTATGGTAACGAGTCGTGTGAGGGTTTGGAGTTCTCGGAGTGGCTGTGGGAGCGCTGGGTTGCTGTGCCTGGTGCTAAACGTGTTACTCAGATCCGTGATAAAAGGCTGTTAAACATCTGCTCGCAAGCTGGGTGTCTGGGCTCCAGCGTCCCAGCCCGGTAGGATCCACGGAGCAGCACCCACCAGCGCTCCCGGCAGCGGCGTTCCCTGGCACCATCTATCAAATTACAAGCAGTTTCCAACCAGACATATTTTTTTTTTTTTTTTTTTTTTTTGCTTAGCAACTCTCTTTCACTTGAGGTGATTACTGGGCTCGAGCTGGGAAAGCCAAGAGGGAGCAGAATGCTCCTGCCTGCCCTGGTGTCGCGAAGCGCGGTGGTGGGGTGGCCATCGTGTCCCCACCCTGGCTCCCATGTGGGGCTTGTGAGCCGTTGGACGGGCAGCACGTGGAGTAAAAGCGGAGGTGACAGCTTGAAGTTATGGGGGGGCAGACTGTTGTCTGTTGACAGGCGGGGAGGGGGCACCACACGCATCTCGGGGTGCATCAGGTTGGGTTGGGCGCAAGCTGACTTGCTCGGCTGTTGCGTTTCTGGTCTTGCTTCTGAGGAAGCTTTTGTCCAGGAGATGGTGCCAGAACTGTACGGCGCTGTGGGACTTGCAGCCGCAAGCTGCCGGGGCCACCCCAAGGCACTTCTGGCCGGGTGGGTCCCCCTGTGCAGCCCCCTCCCGGCCCTCCCTCCACGGTGGCCTCAAGGTGCCTGGCTCTGGAGCGAGCAGCAGGGTGGGACGGGCAAATGTGGGGCAAGTGCAGGAACCATCCCTTTCTGGGCAGAAGCGCCCGGTTTTGTGACATTCCTGACATCTGACCCACGAGGGCTCCACACGGGAAACTTCCTCAGCCGCCGTTTGCTTCCCTCGGCGGGGCAGGTCCCCCCCCATGGGCTGGGTGTCAGGCAGCGGCCAGGCTCAGACGTCCTCCCTGACCCCTGTGTCACGCCGTGTCTCACCCAGCGCAGCCCTTTTCCACCTGCTTCACTCCCTTCGCCTTTTGTTCTCTGCCTGGTCCCACCGTGGCTCGAAGCGAAGGCTTGGCGCTGCGGGGATGGAGGAGGAGGAGGTGGCTGCTCCTGCCACGTTGGCAAACAAAATCTTTCTGCCCAAACCAGCGTCTTGAGGACCGGGGTGACCTGATCCCTGGGCTTGCCAGCAGCCACGCGTTGTCAGAAGATGGCTGACGTGCTGGGGGTGTTTTCTTGCTACAGCAAATACATCTGCTGGGCTTTCTTCTCCGTCTCCTCCCTGTGCTTGGTCCTGACGCAAATCCATTTCCCCACTGGTGGGCCTCTGCTCTCAAGGATCATCTCGTGGGAGACCGGTGGCTTCCCTGTCCCTCCGTGTCCCCGCTAAAGGAAGGACACGAGACAGAGGTGGCAGTGCCTGATGCTGTGGGACCCTCCCTGGGACCATCGGTAGAAACACTGAATGCAACAGAAAACTTTGGTTTCTGCCTCCTTGCTGTCCTCTTCCTAACCTGGATGGTTGTGAACAAGGAGCTTTTAAAAGGATTTTAAACCAAATGAAAACAAAAAGCCCTGCTGGTATTTCCCCTTTGAATTTCCATTGGATTAAGATAGAAAGAAATAGGGGGGAAAAAAAAAATTCTCTTGTGGAAAGCAATAAAAGCTGATTTATTTACCTGGCAGGGGAGAGCCTGGAGCTGCTCAGGATTCTTGGCTGAAGGTTCTACAAAGCCCTCCAACAACTTCAGCGTTTCTTACCCTGGGGGCTGCACCAGCTCCTTCTCCTTTCTGATGTTCGCGTCTGATGAGTCGGTTTTGCCTTGGGCTGGAAGGTGAGGGCACAGCCAGCTCCTAACCCTGGGGCTGCAGGGTGGGCTTGTTCCCTTCTGGGTCTCTTCAGGTTTCTGGTTCACATCTGTATAAATAAATTGGCATCGGTTTTGAAACCTGTCGGAGGGGGAGATCTTAGAAGCCGCTCACAGCCCCGGGTCCCTGAAATATTTGTGCTGAGGATAAAGGCTGTGTGTGAGCTGTGACTCGGGTTAGAGCCTGCTCCCAAGTAAGGAAAACCCCGTCCGCGAGTGGCTGCAGAGGCAGGGTGGCCGGCAGGACCTGTTGTTTCCAGGAGTGCCGTGGTTATCCCCGCAGTGCCTCCACCAGCTCTAAAAAAGGATCAGGGCAGCTTAGGAGCAGACCTCTTGCTGCATCTGACTTTATAAAACTATTTCTGCCTTGAGCCGCCTCCCGTCTCGGGCCGCCTCCCGGCCAGGGCTGCCTATGGGGGTTCCTCCCCCCCCAAAACACCATGATGGAAACAGTTAAATGAGGCAGCTCTGTCTGCAGTCGGCTGGTTTTGAGTTGCCCTGAGATGAAGCACCATCACACCGAGCTGCACGTGTGCTCCCAAGCTTTGGCCACAAGCGTTGAGCTCTGGGATTTTTTCAGTGCGCAGACCCTGCGCGGCTGCAGAGGCCGGTGGAGCGGAGTTGCCTCCCTCAGGGTCACGCCGTGACCTCCCCGATCTCGGGGCGCATCTCAGCATCAAAGCCCCGAGAGTTCCCGTAGTCGTTAATCGGGCGGTGATTGACGTTTAGCTCTGCAGATGGTAACGTGATAAGGGTGGCAACTCCCCAGCTGCCCCGGCGTGACCGTAACCTGACAGGGGCGTAACGCTATCCCCGCTCAGCCCAAACCTGGGCAAAAAGCCCAACCTTGTAAAAAGCCAAAGCATAACGTAATCCTGGTGAGCTGGGCTCTGAACTGCCCCCTCCCCGGGGCTGCAGGTTGGGGGGGTGCTGAGCACACATCCACTGGTCACGGCCACGGCACAGGCAGGGCACGAGCTTGGCCCACAGTTTGCAGCCGAGAGTTTCTCCTGCAAAGTGGAACTTCCCCGGGTGAAGCAAAGCCCAGGACCACGGCATTGCTCCCCGCTATGCCAGTTGCTCTCCAGATGGGCTCCCTGGGACTAACCAGACGTGTTTTTCCTTCCCAGTGGTTCAAAGAACTATAGGAAGAACCTTCCTGAGGCTTTGGGTGAACTGGTTTCCCCAAATCCTAGCAGGGAACTGCTCTGATGTGGGGACTGATGTTTCAGCTCAGCAGGGCAAGCCCCTTCCTCCCAGCTCCTTCCTCTCCACCTCAGGCCTCTCCTGAACCAGCATCTTTCTCCTTGTGCCATGAGAAGTTTTGTAAAGGCGCCGGCCGCTGAGACACGAGGGAAATTGCCTCCTTCACAGTCACCCAGCCCAGGTGCCTCCCAGACCCCACCTTTCCCCTTAAAAGACATTTAATTGACGGCTAAGAACAAACAGAGAGAAAATACCCATTGGGCAGCTCCGAAAGCGTTGCAGATAATCATCAGGGTGCCCTACATACTGCCTCGGCTTGGCTGCGAGATCAGACAGGGAGAAGAATTTGACATTGTTTAAAATGAACAGGAGAGGGAAGTAACAACTCCATAATTACTCACCCCGAGTTAATTGATGGTAATTACACCGAGTAAGCAGCGGAGGAAGCTGTGACAGGCTAGCCCCGAAGAGTCATTTGGAGAGCCGTGCCGTGGTGCTGGGAGGATGCCCTCTGAACCCCGGCTCGCAGGCAGGGTGGCAACCTGGCTCCGAGGGGGTTAAGTTGATGGGTTTGGTTGGTTGGTTTGGTTTTTTTTTTTTCCTTTTCTTTTCCCTCCCTCCTTGGTTATTTGCAGCAAACAGAGTCTGGGTGGAAGGTCTGAGCTGAGCAAGTGGTTGCTCCTGGGGCGACCGGGAGTTGTTTGGGCACTTCCCGAGCTGGGTGCCATCCCTGTCCCTCCTCGCAGCGTGGGGCTGCTCTGTGCCCGAGCCCACCCCCCCGTCCCCCCTG